AAAACTACAGTCAACCCTGTTTAAGACGGAATTGCAATGTAGTCAGAAAAATAATCACATCTTAGACATTTTACCAAGGGAATTTAGGAGGAGATGGAGAGATAGGGTGTGTGTGTGTGGGGGGGGGGGGGGGGGTCAGAGGCCTAGCCGGTGAGATCAAGGGTCGTATGTCAGGTCAGCAAGTAGTGGGGAAAACTTCACACCTCTCAAGTGCCTTCCACTCTGATAATGGCATACGTCTAGACGGTCAGAGAGATCGTAAGAACGTATAGGCATACGTCAGTCCTACTTGACTTTTCAATTGCGACCACTGTTTACAACTCATAGGACCACTGTTTGATCTTAAAAACAGAAACGTTGAGACCTTTACTTTGCTTCCACCCAGTACGCTGCTTCCACTCTTAGTCTTAGCCCTACCCATCGGTGTAAAAAGCACAGTCAACCAATGCCACCATGCAACAACGATTCGTGGAACTTTTTTCTCGGCTGGCTCTACGATCAGGTCGGCAGGCATTGGTCAAACTAATTTCACACCTCTGGCCTCTGGCTACCCAGGGAAGTTTCCGAGCCAAAGAGTCACTCGAGCACTTTCACAGACACCTGTGAGATTTCAAACCCACACCGGGGGCTCTCGTGGCCTGGAGGTTATGGTGTTGGCCTCTCATTCAAAGGTCCCGGGTTCGAATCCGGGTAGCGACCGAAAATTTTTCTTCTCTAAAATTGTCTCCTTTCACCTCCTTTCCTGCTCTCTAGCAATATTCTGTCGTCTGCTTTCGTCTCCTCTTTCTGCCCCCACCCCCTCACCTCCCTTGCCCCCTCCTCTGGGCTCCTGACTCTTTCTGCAGCCTTTCTACTGTTACTCCTTGACTCCTTCTTACAGCTGTCTTTCTACCACACCCCTGATCTTCTGGTAGGAAAGATCTACACCTAGCCTTCTCGGACAAGAGCGAAAAATCTCGGAGGGCTCGTGTGCAAGTTGCGCACGTTAAAGATCCCTTGGTTGTCTAAAATCGATAAGAGTAGGCTTCGGCCGCCACCCGGGCAAAATTCAAAATTTCCTACCAACGAAAAAGTATTAGGTGTGTCCCGCGCGCTCATAAGACCTTATGCAGTTGCGAGCGCCGTAAAACCCTATACTAAACAAACAAACAAACAAACCCACACCACCCTGACCATCTGCACCTCTCTGTTTAAGACAGGTGTCTGTCGGTCCGTTAAAGCGGGTTCCACTTTTTGTGTGTCTGCATGTATTTTTTGTCTTTACTTTAACGCAAAGAGGGAGGGGCAGAGAGAGAGAGAGAGAGAGAGAGAGAGAGAGAGAGAGACAGACAGACAGACAGACAGACAGACAGACAGACAGACAGACAGACAGACAGACAGAGGGAAAGGGAGAGAGAGAGAGAGAGAGAGAGAGAGAGAGAGAGAGAGAGAGAGAGAACGATGGAAGATCGAGACAGGCAGACAGAGAGGCAGACATACAGGCAGGCAGGCAGGCAGGCAGGCAGGCAGGCAGGCAGGCAGGCAGACAGACAAACAGAAAGATAGGCGGAAGGAGAGATCCTGACCTACGTCATTATCACGAAGGCCGCGGAGAATTAGGGGGGGGGGGCAGAGCTATATCAGAATAGAGAGAGGGGGGGGGGGGGGGGGGTGAGAGAGAAAATGAGAGAGAGGGTGTGGTGGAGAGAAATGGGGTAGGGGTAGGGAGACACATAACACCATTGCATAATGCATGTGATTGTGCATGCGTGTGGCACATGTGTAGGTAGTCCTTCGTTGCCGAAGATGACGATGAATCCTGCAGCTCATCTGTGGACGCGCATGTGGCTGTGCAATCCGATCCTGAAAGAACAATGTCTGTTGCAGTGGGGACACTGCAGTTAGGGACACTGGAATGTCGTGGTTGTGGCGGTTGGCTTATGTCTCCTCTCTCTTCTAATAGTAAGCTTCTCCCTGTAGTTGGTTTCGCTGTTTCTGTTGGCAAGACGGACGGCCCTGCGCCAGGCGTTCCTTTCGGTGGCAGTTCTTTCGAGTTCTTTGGGGGTTACTTTAGCAAACTGGAGGTTTTCCTTTATCGTGTCTTTGAACCGCTTTTTTTGGCCTCCCGAGATTTCTTTTGCCACTTGCGAGTTCGCCGTACAGCAGTTGTTTGGGCTTTCGGTGGTCTTCAATGCGGATGACATGGCCGACCCATCTCAGTTGGGCTTTGACGAGCATGCTTTCTATGCTTTGTGAGCTTGATCGGTTGAGGACCTCAATGTTGGTGATGTGGTCTTGCCACCGGATGCCGAGTATGCTGCGAAGAGCCCTTTGATAGAACTGTTCTAATTTGTTGATGTGCTTACTGTAGAGTGTCCAGGTCTCCGAGCCGTAGAGGAGGGAGGGGAGCACAACGGCTTTGTACACTTTGATTTTTGTTGACAACCAAACATTGTACTGTTTTAGTACCTTGCTTTTCAGTCTACCGAGAGCTGGACTGGCTTGGCTGATTCTTGAATCAATTTCCTGATCCATGGGGCCGTCTGCAGAGATGATACTTCCAAGATATTTAAAGTTCTTGGTTTTCTTCAGGCTGTTGCCATTGATAGTGATGTTTGGAGACAGTGGGTTAGTTTTTGGGGCAGGCTGGTGAAGAACTTCAGTTTTCCCTATGCTTATTGTAAGTCCAAAAAGCTTTGAGGCTTCTACAAAGCGAGTGGCACAAGGAAATAATTAATCACATGGATCTACTGCAGAGGTTTCATCGCAACTAGCGCCAGAAAGTGGATGAGAGTGACAGGACTTGGTCTAAAGAATAGTAATGAGATAATAAATTCCCTTTAGGAGGAAACTGTTGACAAAGAAAATCACTGGATCTGGTTGAAGAGAGAGGATACAGGCTGGAACGAATCCTGATGGTTGACAGCTAAGGTAGACAATCGGATGCATTCTCTCCCTGATGATTTCTACGCTAGAGTCTGGGATACGGAGCTTTCGATTGTGAGCAGCGCATAAAGCTATATTTAAGCTATGCATCACAATTCAAATTATTTGTAAACCGGTAACTGTGGTGAAGCTTCGCCGTTTTGTGCTTCGCTGTCGCACGCAGGAGAGACATGACTTCGATTCCCAAGTGGGGAGAAATTTTTATCGAGTACCTCGGTCTTTCTGTGTATTCCTCTCACCTCGGGTTGTCCCCGACAAGCAGGATCGGAAACCAGCCTCCTAAACGATCCGAAATGTGTAGATTGAGTTGTAAAAACGCCTACATAAAAACAATTTAGTAAGAGTAGATTAATTTTCTGACACTCTGGAAGACCACAATGGAACAATCAGTATTGGAGGCAGGACAATCACTAACTTGCGTTTTGCCGATGACATCGATGGATTAGCAGGAGAAGAACAGGATCTCGCCACATTAGTGGACCGGCTGGACACAACCTCAGCAGCCTATGGCATGGAGATCAGTGCTGAGAAAACCAAGCTAATGACCGATAACACTAATGGCATCAATGCGGACATTAAAGTCAGGGGCGAGAAACTTGAGACCGTCAACAGCTTCAAATAACTTGGATCAATCGTCTCAGATGAAGGCTCAAGACCAGAAATTCTCTTTAGAATCGAGCAAACAACAGCTGCGCTGTCAAAACTGAAGCCTATTTGGAGGGACAGAAACACCACGCAAAACTAAAAAATCAGACTAATGCGCTCACTGGTCATCTCAATATTTTTATACGCCTGCGAGTCGTGGACACTGACAGCAGAATTCGAGAAAAAGATTCAGACAACAGAGATGAGACTCTTTGACATCTCGTACAAAGACCACGTTTTAAATGCTGAGATACGAAAGAGAATCACCATCGCAGTGGGGCAGCAGCATGAAGATCTACTGACCACAGTGAAGAGACGAAAGTTAAAATGGTATGGGCATGTCACAAGATCCACAGGACTTGCCAAAACAATCCTGCAAGGAACCATACAAGGAAAGAGAAGGAGAGGAAGGCAGAGAAGGAAATGGGAGGACAACATTATAGAGTGGAAAGGAAAGACGATGGGTAACAATCTGATGAAAGCAGAGGACAAAAATAGATGG